GGGGGATCCCTTCAGCTCGAGGAGCCCTCTCGAACGCCACCCTCCGCGCGTCAGTAGCCCCCCGGGATCGTTAAATCGGTCGGCGCCGGACCGCAAATTTAACCACCCGTAATTCCCGAACCCCGGGGGCTATCGACGCGGGGGTGGTCTCATTCGAAAGAGGGCCTCTAGACGTACACTCGATTCACGTTCGAGAGGATTCCTCGAGCTGAAGGGATCCCGAATTTGGTGCGGATTCGCCGCGCCATTACGGAGATATGGCCATTCAAAGTTTCAATGGTTTTCCATATTCCACATGTTCTGTAAAAAAATATTTCATATCGTCGGCATATTCGCCGATACCGATATATCGGTGACAGACTCATATCGGCCGATAATATCGGCAAACCGATATATCGGTCAGGCTTTAGTATTTTTTTACAATATTCACTAATAAAGTTATTAACGGCTATTGAAAATTGAAAGCTCAATGGGTTAAACATGTTTGATGTATGTGCATTTATCTGTGTTTTTGTTTAAATACAATCCTAAATTAAATGTCTAAACTTTCATTTTGGTTGAACTATCCACAATACATATTGTCGCTCTTTTGCAGTTTTGTATTGCGAAATATTGTGACGCAATATATATTACACAATATTATGTTATGATAATCAAAATGTTTGTGTGCGAGCAGTAATGTCCAAGCAGATTTTCGCCTTAAGTCTTCAGTTTGTATTTTACAAGCCTTTTATCAAAGTCTTCTGGCCCAATTCAGTGACTTTGTTTCAGTTTTGGCCCTCAGGGAGGTCAGATTACACAAAGGGCCTTTGCTTTCTTATTTTCTCCTGCGTTCTTCTGCTCTACTGGTTTATAAAGGGATAAATTGGTGTGAGTCAGTCTACAGCTCATCGTTGACCGAGACATCTGTCTCAGGAGCATATATTGTAGCAGGAATCTGGGTTATAGATCTGCGTGTCACAGATCCTTTTTATTTAAAGATTTATCTCGTTGAGTCAGTCAGTGTCTCTCTGACTTTTGAGGCTAAATATGTTTGAAGCAACTCGCACATTAAATTATGGTTGCTGTGGGTGTTTTTGGCAAAATCCCAGTGGCTGTTGTGATCAGTCAGTTATATGTATCTTTTGGGGGGATGAGGGTGGAGGAAATCTGACAGATGTGTGTACGTCTGTTTCTGCCCGTCTACAGCCGACATCATCTCTACTGTGGAGTTCAACCACTCAGGGGAGCTGCTAGCCACAGGGGATAAAGGCGGTCGAGTTGTCATCTTCCAGCAAGAGACTGAGGTAAAGGATCAGGCGATTTCATAGTAACATTATTTCCGCTTTCATTCCCACTTACGTCTTTCTCACAAAAATGGGCTTTTCTTTTTCCAGAACAAGAGTCAGCCACAGTGCCGTAGTGAATACAATGTTTACAGCACATTTCAGAGCCACGAGCCTGAATTCGACTACCTGAAGAGCTTGGAAATCGAGGAAAAGATTAACAAGATCCGCTGGCTACCACAAAAGAACGCTGCACAATTTTTGTTGTCCACAAATGGTTAGTAGAGCACTGGGACTCTGTGGAGTCTTATGGCGCTGTTCCACTGCGTGGTACGACTCTGCTCGGTACGGCACAGTACGGTACGGCACGGCTCGGTTCGGCTCGGTTTGCGTTTCCTCTGCAGTTTAGTATCGCTTTTTTGAGATGGGACAGTACTTCTTCAGTTCTAGTGGGTCTAATAGCACTTTTCCACTGAGTGGTCCGGCACGCCTCGGCTTGGCTCGGTTTGCATTTCCTCTGCAGTTTAGTATCGCTTTAGAGTGGGCGGGATTATTCACATGTCGTTGTAGTTGCGCCGTCTCTACTGCCGCGACTCCTTAAAAAACGTTTTCATTCCGCGTTGCCCCAGCAAACTCTCGCTGGATCCGCTGCTCTGCTATCAACGAGAGGACCGTCTGTACTTCCTCAACAGGGGGAACACAGAAACATTGCCAAGCTATTAGGGTTGTGACGGTGAGGAAATTTTCCCACCGGTTAATCGACGTGTGACAACACCGGTAATACCGGTATCACCGCGGGGGCAGGGCGTTCCCTCTTTTCCTCGCTTTCCTTCGCTTTTAAATAGCTTGTAAAAGTGTGCCCATTTAACTTTCACTTTAAAATAGCGGCAATTCGGAGTAAAGAAATTGTTCGTTTTTAGTTCGTTTGAATTTTCCCTCTTGCTCGCTTTCCTTCGCCGTGCGCATTTTACATTCACTTTTGAATTGACGGCAGTTCGGCATCAATTCCTTGAATGCAACAACAAAATACAACGTCAAACTCACTTTAACGTAGGCCATATATAAAACATAGAACTTTCATTAACAAAACAAATAAAAATACACCATGCTATAGGGCAAGCTATGCCTAATATTAAATAACAAATAACTTGCATAAAGTTTAATAGGTATACAAAACTGGAAATAAGTAAACATGTATAATATATAACCAAATAAATAAGAAACGTTGAACGTTTATTAGCAAAACGAATGTCAAATAAAATAAATAAATGACAGTTTAAATAAAGTAAAAATCAGTAAACAATGTGGAACCAATTAAATAAGAAACGAATGTTTGAAAAAAACCTTCCACCTTAGATAAACGGCAAAAGTCAACAGGCTTTTCAAAATCCAAAATATTGCCAAACAGGCGCTTTTGCATCTAGTTTCGAAACTAAATCATCCGCGATCGTCTTGTCTGTCTCACCTCACTCTTCTTGTCAGTCAGCTCGACTCACTCTCCTCACTGGAGAAATGAAATCTGATCTGTGTGATGCGACTGTCATTCGGCACGCTGCATTGTGCAGCCGCGTTCAGTTTTTAATTGTAGTGTCTGTTCTTTTACTGAACTAAATGATTTTTGTTATTATAAAAAAATGGAAACGACGTGGGGGTCAGTGATGTGGTGGGCAAGTGACGTAACCGGTGTTGCGGCTTAACACCGGTATCACCTTCTATCACGGCAAACCTAATATGTAGGAGGTTAAAAGCATTGTTGTTGGGTGCTGTGTTGATTTGGGTTGTGAATGTCATGTTGAAATCTCTCTGTGTCAGTTCAGCAATGTTGTGTGGCTTTAACTCCGCGTCAGACATTGTGGACATAAAACCAGCCAACATGGAGGAGCTGACGGAGGTGATTACAGCTGCGGAGTTCCACCCTCACCAATGTAACACGTTTGTCTACAGCAGCAGCAAAGGCACTATCCGCCTGTGTGACATGCGTGCATCAGCACTTTGTGACAAGCACTCTAAATGTGAGTTATATGTGCTGGCTGCATCATATATTTGCATAAAGTTTAATAGGTATACAAAACTGGAAATAAGTAAACATGTATCATATATAACCAAATAAATAAGAAACGTTGAACGTTTATTAGCAAAACGAATGTCAAATAAAATAAATAAATGACAGTTTAAATAAAGTAAAAATCAGTAAACAATGTGGAACCAATTAAATAAGAAACGAATGTTTGAAAAAAACCTTCCACCTTAGATAAACGGCAAAAGTCAACAGGCTTTTCAAAATCCAAAATATTGCCAAACAGGCGCTTTTGCATCTAGTTTCGAAACTAAATCATCCGCGATCGTCTTGTCTGTCTCACCTCACTCTTCTTGTCAGTCAGCTCGACTCACTCTCCTCACTGGAGAAATGAAATCTGATCTGTGTGATGCGACTGTCATTCGGCACGCTGCATTGTGCAGCCGCGTTCAGTTTTTAATTGTAGTGTCTGTTCTTTTACTGAACTAAATGATTTGTTATTATAAAAAAAAATCAAAACGATGTGGTGGGCAAGTGACGTAACCGGTGTTGCGGCTTAACACCGGTATCACCTTCTATCACGGCAAACCTAATATGTAGGAGGTTAAAAGCATTGTTGTTGGGTGCTGTGTTGATTTGGGTTGTGAATGTCATGTTGAAATCTCTCTGTGTCAGTTCAGCAATGTTGTGTGGCTTTAACTCCGCGTCAGACATTGTGGACATAAAACCAGCCAACATGGAGGAGCTGACGGAGGTGATTACAGCTGCGGAGTTCCACCCTCACCAATGTAACACGTTTGTCTACAGCAGCAGCAAAGGCACTATCCGCCTGTGTGACATGCGTGCATCAGCACTTTGTGACAAGCACTCTAAATGTGAGTTATATGAGCCGGCCACATCATAAATGCCACTTAATCCAATGAAGCTTTGTATTTTGTTGTTTTCTAAATAGCATATACTGTGATGTCATGTGTTAGTCGTATAAAGGTGTTTGTAAAAAAAGCACGTTCCTTTCTCCTCTGCTTTGTCTAGTGTTCGAGGAGCCTGAGGACCCCAGCAACCGCTCTTTCTTTTCTGAAATCATTTCCTCCATCTCAGACGTGAAGTTTAGTCACAATGGCCGATACATGATGACCCGAGACTACCTGTCCGTCAAAATCTGGGACCTCAATATGGAGAATCGACCCGTTGAGACATACCAGGTGGGTTCTTGTTTTTGCTCAGTTTTTCCAATGATACTATTACCTATCAAGCCACAGCAGGGCTGTTGTGCATCTCCAAGCAACACACAATTTCTGAATGAATCTGCGTTTTGAAAGAATCGGGTGAACCAATGATTTAATGGCCCATTCATAAACATTTACTGAATTCCTGAATGAATCAGCTGTTGAATGAATGACTAAATGACTTGCTCATTAAGACATTTACCGCCATCTACTGGTAGTTTTTGCTTATTTATAGTATTTTATTTCATTATTTCATTTCCATATTAATAAAAAAAAACATTAAAGGGATCTAAAAAACAATCATCTATAAAAAGAAAAAAAAGTCATTATAAAGTAAAGTAATTCTTATTTAATTAATTTAGTGATTGTGCAGCTGTTCACTATGTCTAGTCCAAGGAGGTGGACTGAAAGAGAAGATTACTTGCCCGACTGGACGACTAACCTGATCAAAAGATCTAACTAGGGAAGTGCCGAAATTTCGCAGAGAATGATTCTTAATTAATTACATTCATTGTAGACGGTGATTGATTATAGATAATGCATTGACAGTAACAATGTCGCATCAGTTGAGGCTCACACAGCCTGTCTGTGTATGAGAGAATCGCATGGAGAAATCAAAACAAATGTACACAACTGCACACATAAGAAACCTACTGTGGTAAAAACTTAGCTTTTATATTTATAACATATTATATAGCCAAATATAATAAACAACGTGTCACGTTGCTTATTAAGCAACGTGACACGACCAAGAGAGTGCAGTTTTCCCTGAAAACCACGATTGCAGATTTGTTACAATGAATTTTATACAAGAGTTCAAATGAGTAGTTAATATTAAATGACTTACATTTTGGACACAATTTTGTCATATGTTGAACTTTATTGGTCTATTTGGTTTTGGTTAAAATTCCAAACAAAGATCACAGCATGAATTGAGTCAATGATTATAACCCATTCATAAAGAAAGGCACTTGCTTCATTCTTGAATGAGTCAACTGTCTGAATGGATCATTTGAATGAACGCCTCAATGACTCACTTATTCAGACAGTCACTTGCTGCTGTCTACCGGCAGTTTACGTTCAAATTTAAAAGTAGCCTATTGTTGCTTTTTTCCAACATTTCATATTTGTATTAGGGCTGGGCGATATAGCTAAAAAAATATACCAACGATATAATGTTTCATATCGTTTGGTATCGATTATTATTGAATTGTTTTTATAACCTTTTTAAAAACAGAGCAATAGAAAAAAAAATGTACATTTAACCACTGTATGTTTGATTTGCCCAATTTATTAAGACAAACAACAATTTATTTAGCTTTTTTTGTTTGTTTTAGCAGTCAAACACAAAATTTAATTTATAAAAAGGATTTCACGTCTTTTGGACAGAAGCAATGCAACGATAGAGCTTGAAAGATCAAAGACAATTTTTTATATAACTCCTACTGGATTCGTCTGAAAGAATAAAGTCATATACACCTAGGATGCATCGGGGGTGAGTAAAACGCAGCCTAATTTTCATTTTGGTGTGAACTAACCCTTTAAGGAAACTTTTGGCTTGTCCCCCCAGGCCACAGGAGGGCGCAATGAGCAAAATAATGCAGTGCATTAAAGGGGTCATATGATGCAATTTCAATTTTTCTGGCTTTCACCGTGGACGAAGCGGAGTCCAGACCGGGGTCATCACATGTGGTTGCCGCAAGCCCGCCGGCCGTTCCTCACTCTAGCCCGCCTCAGCTCACTCAAGGCCGCCGTGTGTGATGCTGTTTCATTGTGAAAGCGAAACTACGTTGGCCTTCCAAAAGAGGACACGACTAGAAATCAGTGGTTAAGTTGTATTTACAACACTGTTCCAGAACAGTTCAACCCAAATATTCAGATGTGTCCAGCGCATTTTATGGAGGACTGTTTCCTGATCCTGGTAGAGTAGACTACAATGCCGGCTGTTCTGACTCATAAACTGTAAGTAAGTTTCTTTTATATATAAAATTTTATATAAAACTTTGCCACTGACGATTCAAACGCGAGTTTTGAGCAGTGTGGAGTAGGGCTTGTTGTTTGTCATTTCTCCGATCACAAATGCAGACATGGTTTTATGTTTGCGCGGCATGATGCAACGCGTAAAAAGACAGTATAAGTCATTATAATACATAATTATGTCCCCACTGGATGCAACAAATGCCTCGTTTATAATGGGTTTTATTGGTTTCGTCAAGATGCTCCGGCCGGACACGGCATCACAGTATGGTAAGGGGTGTAACATTTCCGTCACACGCTTGAGGTATTCGGCCAATCACAACACACTGGATAGCTGGCCAATCACAGCACACCTCGCTTTTCAGACCGATGAGCTTTGTAAAAATCGACACGTTTCAGAAAGGCGGGGCATAGAGGAGAAACAATGATGTACAGTATGTGGAAAATAATGTTTTTTGAACCTTAAACAGCATAAACGCATTTCATTACACCAAATACACAAAATAATGTTCTTTTTAGCAACATCATATGACCCCTTTAAATTGTCAATGCAAATAACTGTCTATAAAAACGTGCATAACGTCTAAATTAATATATATATATATATATATATACATATACATACATACATATATATATATATATATATATATATAATCAAATATAATTTGGTAAACTGCATGAATTATGAACAAAACAGCATCATGTATTTATGCATTGCTTAATACAGAGCCAAATCGCCGATCACACAGATTGCATTTAAAAACATATGAGATGCAGTGAAAAGAAATAAACCATCACAAATGCACGTCGCTTTTTCTAAACATTTAAACTGTTTTAACTTTGCATGGCTTTCTTTGCTTGTCTTGCATGTGACCCGAGTGCAGCAGTCATATTTGTTCATCTAAAAAATGTGCTGAATATGCGTTCTGTGTGAATGGCTTGGTTTTGGTTTGAACCTAATGAAGATCTTCTACGCATTGAGCTACTATATTTCTCTAATATTTTGAACGAATAACAGCAGCGGCACATCTCGTGGGCTAAACTGACAAAACATTAAAATGCATCAACGTCACTTACATCAACATCACCGCATCTCGTGCGCCACTGATGACGCTCCCTGATGCACACACAACATTCGATTGTACCATTTTTGCATTCAAATGCAAATGTTTATTTTAAATTAGACTAATATTCGTTTTTTTTATTCACAATCTTCTCATCGCAGGCATTACAGGATGTGTTCATGTGTGCTGTCTGCATCACTCATAGCACGTGCCTATATCGTGCGCTATATCAAACATTTTTTCTATCGTTATCGATGGTGTACCGTCGATAAATATCAATACCGTTTTATCGCCCAGGCCTAATTTGTATATTAAATAACTGATTTAAAACTCTTAAGCTGATTAAATTTATTTGTGCGGTTATAATTTTGCAGTGTAAATGCATTCATGCTATATTTCAGCTTCATCAAGCACTCTTGTGTAAATGCATCTAAATGCCATTGACTTCAGCTGCTTCGGTTTCTTCTGCAGTGGAAAGATCAATTTTGTTGATGCTGATTTAATTTGATTGGTAACAGCCCTGTAGTGTTGTCTTATATTATTAACTGAAATTATTAATACAATGCACGAATTGTATATAAAAGATTACGCTCACATTTAATACGGTTAGGGAAAAAATGCCCTTATGTGGGCAAAAATGACCTGGAAATCAATTTAAGTACATTTTACTGTGCAGTAGTCAACTTTAATCATGAAACGTTATTTCCCAACAACATTATTGTGGCCAGTGAGTGGCTAGTGAGCCAAAAAGTTAATGTCAAGCTCTGTGTCTGTGTATCACAATAGAATATAGATAACATATCAAA